ATATCATAACTGATCAATTAGATATTATTTAATATTGCCATAATAAATAAACTATTTTTCATTTTATGAAAGGTGTGTTTCTGACGTTTGGTTGCTCAGGAATTGTTCCTGCCATACACTTTATAGCTGCCCATGGTATTTCTGTAGCTCATCGTCAGGCATCTGTTGGCTGGATGGCATTAATGGGAGTCTTGTATATATTAGGCACTATTGCCTATGCATCTAGGGTACCCGAGAGATTTTTCCCTGGAAGGTTCAATATATGGGTAAGTCATCTTCATCAAAGCGCATGCAATTACAGCCTCCTGAAACCTTGTACTCAATAATACTCTCTACTTTGTGGGTATTTTGTAACCATTATATTACAACATTCATGTTGATGTGACTCATTATTTGCCCCAAAAATGTCACATTCTGAGTGGTAGAGCTATATGGGAAAATTACACTCTGTCTTACTTTTGTCCTAGTATTCTAGATCTCTATGTTCCTATTAAGTCTCTTATGCCTGAGTCACATGCAGTCCTAGACTGCGTATTTTTGTAAAGATGTTTACAAGGAAAAACTTCCATTCCAAACTTGTGTCATTAATTGYATCCTTTAATTTCAGTTCCAAAGCCATCAGATATTCCATGTCTTGGTTGTTGCTGCAGCATTGGTTCACTTGTATGGTATATGTCAAATGGCTTACTATAGATTCTCCATTGGTACAGAGTGTAACTGATGTCTTTATTCTAGCTGATTAATTAAGTTCTCATTATTTAGAATATGTAAAATAGGTTTGGCTGTTTCATAAGTGTATTCAAAAAACAAACAGATAAAACAAGAGGACTTGTTACTGGACTTACTTAAGTTACTTGTTACKTACTGTTCTGTCTCATGCCAAGTGCAGGTTTCTGAAATGACTTCTCATATGAAGTACCACTAAAATACAGAGAATCAACAAGTGTGATGCAAGTCTATGTGACACATTTATCCTTTCACAGTCACACCAGCAATATTTTGTTTATTTCTCATTAATTCTGTAATGTGAGGATTTTATTAGAAAATTATTAGTAGGATTGTCTGTATAAAATGCACAGAAAGGAAATGGAAAGATTTCCTCAAGCATGTAAAAAAACTTTAATAATACTTGGCTCCCTGAGGAGTCAAGTAACAGTAGACCTAATGGGCTTGCTCCCTGAGGAGTCAAGTAACAGTAGACCTAATGGGCTTGCTCCCTGAGGAGTCAAGTAACAGTAGACCTAATGGGCTTGCTCCCTGAGGAGTCAAGTAACAGTAGACCTAATGGGCTTGCTCCCTGAGGAGTCAAGTAACAGTAGACCTAATGGGCTTATGTATTCATCTAAGGTAATGTGTGTTTTAATAAATATAAATTACTTGGGAGGAGGACAGTACATCAGCTCATTAGTACTATTAGGAGTTAGTATAAACATACTAATGGTCTATCACTCATACTGCGCTGTGATTGGCTACTCTACTAATGGTCTAATTTGTGATAGACCACTCGCAGGAAAATCAATCTCATTAATAAATTATTTTAAGGATATTGTAAGGATATTTCAATTTGTTTTCATTATTTRACCGATTAGTATGTTTATACTAAAACAATTAGACCTCTCGGCCTCGTRGACTACGAGCTAATAKCCCATTCGGCCTCGCGGACTCGGCCTCATGGGCTATTAGCTCGTAGTCCACTCGACCYCGAGGTCTAATTGTTAATTAGTCAAATGTACATATGTTAGATATTTATCTATTGGGGGTCTATTAATATGGTACAATTAAAGACTTACATGCATCTGAGAGTCTTATCATGATTCTTGCTTATGACAAATCATCATTTTTTGGATCTTTGATTTTTAACCCATCAGAAGCAATTGATTTTCAACCACAGATCATTTTTAAAACAAAACAAAATTAGTTTAAAAATTTASTTTTGTTTTAATGATTGGAAAGGTTGTTGGATGCAAGTGGGCCATATACTAATCTCAGGTCAGCTAATATGGGAATAATATTACAATACAATTACAGAACAAGCTTAGCTTTACTTATAATTTATTAGTTTTCTTTCAATGGATTTCCTATTTTGATGGCCAAGGATTGCCTGAAAAACATGATACTCMAGATCAAACTAAAGCTGTTGATCTTTTCTTTCTGTGCAAAAGGGACAATAGAAAGTGTGAAAAGCATTCTGCTACTTATTGGATGTCATCATTCAACAGCTACATTTTTTTATTGTGCAAGATGTTATTGTGCAATAAGTATTGGTATTTCTGCATGAACAACAGTAGTTATTTAGTCTATCATTTTTTGAACCAATAAAATTGTTGAAGACTTACATCTACTGAAGAATAAAACACTGCAGATTTTCCTTTGTCTGTGATGTCAATTTAGTGTTAAAATATTCACCAAATGTGGGACTATTTTTGTTCTTTTACTAATATTATAATTACCAACTAGTCTAGGAAAATACAGCCTTTTGCAAAAATTATGAGAATTGTTGAAATATCTAAATATCATAATATCAAGTGCATGATGGGTAATCCCGCTCGATGCCCTTAGACCATTGTTTTTGTAGTTTAGGTACTATTTTTGGCAACGGACTGATCCGTAGTTCTGAACATTTTCTCGATGTCAACAATGAATTATTCTAGCAAACCCGCRTGTTCCGGACAATATATGGATATGGATATTATGATATTTAGATATTTAGACAATTCTCATAATTTTTGCAAAAGGCTGTATAACCTAAGGAATATATATTACAATATATTGTTGGTTTTTGTAAATCTGTGAAACACACTACATATAATTCTTTATTTTGGACTCTTTTCTTATGTCGTGATAACATATCTTAGAACTGGATAGAACTTACAATAAATTACATTGCAGCTGCTAAGTTAAACTTGGAAGCTGAATAGCATAATTACAAATGCACAAATATATTGAGTCCACACCACAAAAGCGTGAAATATTTCTTAAATGCCAGAAAAGGAAATTGTCTTTATTTTATGCCTTACTGAATTCTTAATTAGTTGATAACTAAATCTTATCARGCGCTAATTATTTAAGAATTGTTTCACACTTATGTGGCATGCACTCTAAACAATAATATACACATGATAATAATGAAAAGACACTACGTATAAATGGGGGTATTGGCGATAAAAAGATTGGTGACCAGTTGATCCTAGTTACTATTTCTGATCATATTTACCACAGCTTGCTATAATAAATGAGTCTTYATATCTATTGGTTTTACAGTGACCAGAATAGTAAATTTCCTTTGTTTGTATAGACTTCTGAACCTTTTATGTCACTACTTGATTTTCAATGCATTGTGGGATCAGTTTCTAGAGCAAATAAAAGAAATCCGCCATGTTTTGTCCCAAACATGTCCTACAATGCATGTTGCGTATACGGTACATGACGTAAAAGCTTCAGAGGTCTATTAGCTTATATAATCTATTTGTAGTGTTTAGAGGTAGCAATTATTATACGGTTAAAGTTTGTTTTTCCTTATTCTAACTCACCTCTCAGCTTCCCCTCTTGGATAATTCAAATCATTTTAAGCCCCCTCCTCTCACATGGTCCTTGAATGAAAAGCTTATCAAAGTAATTCATCTCCGCAAAGGAGAATATGGATATATTTTTAATGCCACTTATTACATGACAGGTGAAATATACACAGTAGTTTTACAATTATTTCATATGGACATCCCCTGGATTTGCCCCTGTAATTCATTAATTTATATGCTAGGCTGCCACTCCCAGTCRAGTCACACCTTATCCTGTAAGCAGAACCTTTGTTTATTCACTGACATATATAAAAATGTTATAGTGACAATATTCTGGGAAACACAACTGAAACATGTAGAATGGTGATTTACATGTATCTGATGACAACATATAACCCTAATAGTCTCCTTCACGGTTACCTGCGCCATCTTGAAAGGTAGCCGTGCCTTTGCATCGAAGCGAGACGACCGTTGAGCGTGCAATGATAGAAACCTTCTTTCACACCTATAGACAATTATTCACAGGTATCTATCATTGCACGCTCAACGGTCGTCTCGCTTCGGTGCAAAGGCACGGCTACCTTTCAAGATGACGCAGGTATCCGTGAAGGAGACTATTGAAGAAACGCTGTCGGGTCCAAAAAGGTCAAATCATAGAAGCTAAGACGGAAAGGGTACTTGGGAAGACAACCAAGACTGCCTAATTTCATAACAAACAGCTCCAGCATAAAAGACTAGCATGCTGTTAATCTTACAAGCTCTACTTGATTTACGGTACACCGTATATGCAAATGACTAGCATGCTGTTAATCTTACAAGCTCTACTTGATTTACGGTACACCGTATATGCAAATGACTAGCATGCTGTTAATCTTACAAGCTCTACTTGATTTGCGGTACACCGTATATGCAAATGTAATCCCAATTTAGTGGTACTCAAAATCCCTTTCGGTGTTAGCTTCTATGATGTGACCTTTTCGAACACGACTACGTTTTTCAATTAGGTGTACATGTACTATGCTGATGTCATGTCAGGCTCATGAATGACAAATATCATTTTAGTTTCATAGAAGATGTCAGTTTTGCTTCAGTTTTGTTTCTGCTAAAACAGTGTCAAGTTCTTTAATACTAAATCAATCATTCACGAATTTGGGCATAAGCACTGTAGCCTGCATAGCGGCCCTAAGGAGATTGGGGAGGGCCGGTCGAGTGGGGAGTGGGCTGGCCTTCCCAAATCCCCTTAGGGGTGCTACGCARGCTAATGCACTCAGGAATGTGAAGTCAGACAGGTGTATTTTCAAGTCAAATTCCACTACTTTTTTACTAAAGATCCATTAAAAAAAYAAATTGATACAACATACAAAAGATTTTAATGATCCAAAATAATAAATACTAAAATGCTGCTTTTGAAGCCACTTGCATTAGTTAATAAAATTACACCTTAATTATAAAAACAATATCTAGAAATTCAATGGCGGTTCCAGGGAGGGGCAAAAGGGTGCTGTAGCCCCCCTTCAATCAATGGTGTTTCAGTTTATAACAAATAAAGCCCATTTAGCCCCCCTTAARATTTCAGCTGGATTCACCCTCGAAAATAACGGTACTTAATGTTTTACACTGCCACATTAATTTACACACTCAGCACTTGTAGACAATGGTCATAAATTAACAGCAGGAACTGTGTCTACCCTAAAGAATGATTTCATTGTATTTCACAGGCTAACAAAACTCCTCAAATAGACTACAAGAGCTATGTGCCACATATAAGCTGCTATTTCTAATAGCATCCAGGGATTTGGCCAAGTCACATCATACACAGTTTGTCAGAATGTGACTCTGATGGCCATTATGAAGGGTGAAAAGTGCTCTCCAGCAGATAAATCCTYATACAGCTGATAAAATCTGTAGAAAATCCTATGGAGTTGATAACTATTATCCTCCCTTCATACATCTGGTCTAGCTATTCACTGGAGAGAGAGCACCTGGTTTTTGCCATAACAAATATGCCTGAGTTAAATCTAGGATGGACGCAAGAAGATACAGATTTTATTTTCGAGTGTTGAAAAATCTCAGGAGTGCAAGCGTAACGAAAGAGTAAGAGATTTTCAACACAAGAAGATAAAATTTGTATCTCCAAGCAACCATGT